TCATAAAATCTGCTCTGTCTCTGGCAATTTAATTTTATGGTACAATTCCTGTCTCGCCATGAGTCATTCGGCAAGTATATACTCAAAGAAATCATTTAATCATAGCTCGTTTTGTAAGGAAGGCTGCGCATAATTTGGAGGGCAAGGCACTTGTGTTCAGTTAGTGCGGCATTTTGAATTAGAATATTGCAGTTACTTGGATGACTTTTGCAAGGGAGAAGGAAGAATAAAGCTTTGTCATGGGAGTGAAATATCGAGTAAACTTTTGGTGACGCCAAATGAACTAAAATGGTGCAGACTTACCCACCGCGATGGAGACTTTGTGGGTCATAAAACTGCAAATGACTGCACTGTTTCTACATAGAAATATTTACTTTCTTACTCGGTTTTCTCCACTTCAGACGAAGTAAGGGAGACACGAAACCGTAATCATGAGACAAAGGAATTAATATTGATTTAGTTTGAATCGACGTGAAAAGTAGTGTTAAATTTTTACCATTATCGCAGGTCACTCATTTCTTCACTTCGGCTGCGAACAAGCTGATCATGAGGATATAAAAGCTAGGGTGCTGCTTTTATAGGGGAGATGAAGGAAGCATTTACTTGTCCGCAACTATCACTTCTCAAAACAGACTGTCCACTTTAGTTCAAAATCCAACATTAAAAAATGGTTTCAAGGATCGGTCGTAGCTGTTGATTTGTTATGGTCGGTCTGTTTATTCGAACTGCTGGCCCCACGGCTGCGCATCCCTTGTCCGAAGCTGAGAATGATTTTCGAGGAGTGGAAAGTGGCCATTATCATCCGCTTGCCTTTGTCACCTGCAGGTTCAGAGATAAGGATGGCCCTCGGAGAAATGCTTAATTTTTTAACAGATTTTCCGCTGAATTCAGAGGGAGTTTAAATTTAGCTTATGCTGTGGCGAGGGCGGGTCGTCTATAGATGTTTAAGCAGATTTTGAATAATTCATTTTGACCCATCTGCGAAAAACTCGGCGATCTCGGTGGGATTCGAACCCGCGACAGCATGGGAAGGCTTTACTACAGCCAACGCTCTAGACACATGAGGTACGGGGTCCCATCGCGAGCAGTAATTCTAATCACATTGGGGTCAAATTACCCGTCCAGCCTACTGCGAGGTATGGAATCCACCAAATATGATACAGTAAGCTGACTGTCCAACCAGGACTTCCTAAGTAATCTATCTAGAATCCACTATATGATTACCACTAAGCCTTTTCCTTGCCGTCATGGGTTCGAATCCCATCGAGGTCGCCGAGTCTTTCGCGGATGTGTCAAAACGAATAAAATCCTTTCATTGGAATCCAGAACAATAAAACCAGGACTACGCATTCTCTTTCCCTGCCTAAATAACTTGCCTTTATCAAAATATCGAACCGTCATAAAGAAAACTTGCTGGTCATTTAGAACCGCTGGTCGGTTATATGTAACCTGAAGTGCCATACGCTGTAAGACGGTTTACAATTGGGTTCGAGATAATACGACAGTACACTGTGGTCTCAGGAACCCACGTAAACAGATCGTTGTCTAGATGTTTGATGGTCAGCCCAGACCTTGAGGTCGTGGGGGGGGGGAGGGGGGAGGGAGGTGGCGATTTAGGTGGCTGAAGCTTCACAGCCTAGATGACTGATGAAGAATTGGGCGAGGGCGGTTAGTACCGAGGCTCAGGGGGAGAGCGAGGCAGGGCCTGTCATAAAGGGGCACGTGGCGGTCTTCGCGGACGGTTAGGCCTTTAACTGTGGTTTGGAAGGCGCGAGCGTGTGCATGCTATGCCCTCAAGATTGGCCATTCTTCCAATTTCCGCTTGGCCGCCCAGTCGGACGGTCGAGTGCTTATGTTACCATTGATTCATAGACAGAAAAGAGGCGGAGATATGGTAGGCAGCCTGACTCCGATGTCTTGGGCCGGCAGATGTGCGAACGCTTGCGCGGTCACAATGCGGCCAGCGAAGTGTGCTCAATGAGAAGGTGGAAATGGGAGGGTGGGGACTGAGTGGCTCGTTGATAAGTACCGGTCATTTCAGTATTGAACGAAACGCCATTTACATAACCGTGTCTGGTCAAATAACGAGACGTAATCCCTCGCCCTACCCACCAATAACCTCGTAAGCGCGCCTCACCCTTAAAATTTATGTTGCCAATCTGTTGAGTGCAAACTGGCGAGTAACGCGGTATGGTGTGCCCGTGAGATCCTACGGGTACTGATAGCTCTGGCCACTTCAAACCACCTTTTTGACCAGTCAGAACTGAAGGGCCACCAGGCTCAAACACCGCTGCTGAGGTGGGAGGTCGTCGTTCGTTTAAATTACATGCGAATATGTTAGAAACGAGTGACTTCGGGAGTTTAGTGGTCGTCCCTTCGAGGTAGGGCCTGCTTTAGTTTTATTCGGTATTTTTTGAGCGTGTCCATCGAAAATATGCGCCGGGTTAATTAAACAGAAAGGCGTTAGTGAGACCCACTTATTGATATCATACAGGCCACTTTGCGTGTTTGCAAAAGACTGCACTAAGTGCAGATCAGAAAATAATAGTAAAAGATATTCAAAAATTCCTATTGACCCAACTGTGAAAAACTCGGCGCCTCGGTGGGATTCGAACCCACGCAGTAAGGGGAAGGTTTTAGTACAGCCAACGCTCAGCCAACGAGGCCCCGCCAGACGACGCGAGTTTAATCACATTTGGGTCAAGTTACCCGCCCAACCTACTGCAACGTCTGGAATTACTTAGGAAATCCTGCTTGGGCAGTCAACTTACCGTATCAGATTCGGTGGATTCCAGACGTTGCAGTAGGTTGGGCGGGTAACTTGACCCAAATGTGATTAAACTCGCGTCCTCCGGCGGGGCCTCGTAGCTCAGGTGGTTAGAGCGTTGGCTGTACTAAAGCCTTCCCCATACTGCGTGGGTTCGAATCCCGCTGAGGCGCCAAGTTTTTCACAGTTGGGTCAATGTGAATTATTCAGAATCTGCCAAAATATCTATGTATTCTAAAATTGTAGAATAAGTTACCCAGCAAATATCAAAGCTCATCGTTGTCCAGGCGCGACGACTAGAGGCCCAAACTGTCCTGGTGGTTCTCGGGTAGCTGCTTGCAGGCTCTCGAGAGACCATTGAATTGAGCTGACGAGGTAGGGCTGCTTCGAGCTGGTCAACCGTGGTGCTGTTTCGGTCTCGAGTGTGTTCAATGGGACTACTAATAACGAGTTTTGTGAATAAGCTTATCTCAGGTTTGACCACTTGACTAGTTTGCTTGTTGCCCGTCGTGCCCGGCAATGTCCCCCGTATACTTCGCAACAGAATGAGACAGACACGATGAACTGCGCGTGAATTAGTTTATAGTGAGAGTAGACTTGCGAAGCATCTGCCGCACTCTCTCCTCCTTCCCCACCTGGATCCGGTGACGAGATACAGTCAAGAGGACCGGAGGTGGGGAGAATGCAGGTGGCTGGCACGATCGGACCCGCACCTAGGCGTATCGCAAAACCCCCTGGTCCGTAACAAACACTTGATCAGAAATTTGGTCAACAAAAGCATGACAACGAGTCAGAAAGGCGAGGATGACTGGGCAGCCATGCACGTGACCTGTATGCCCAGTCGGATCGCAAGCGCACCTACCGACAGGGAACCTGGGGTTCATAAAACTGCCGGCGAGCACCAGGTTGCGAGGGCTATGGTTTACTGATCCTGGCACACAATATTTTAGGCCCCGAAGGTGGCACGCAGCCCTGCACTTAACCTGGTTCACCACCGTTCAAAGACTGGACAACCAATCAATCTTTGACGGAGACGCATTACCCATAATCACACACACACGCACACTCATCACATGCGTGAGGGTTCTAGTGGGAAGGAGAAGGAGCCATTGCAACCTGACTCTTAGTTCACCACTGTTATTCTGTATGCTGCAGTGCGACATGCCCTTGGTAGCTGACGAGAAATTTTTCCCTATCATGCTTTTTTCCTGTTTTATTAGGACAAGGGGTGCCCCGATCTGTCGGATGTTAGCCCGCAATTCGCGTGCACGGGTTGGTCCTTAATTTCTTTAAACCACCTAGAGGCCCATTTCTAGGCAACTTAACTGATCAGTAGCCTCCCCAACAAATCCTAATTCGTCAGTTTTTTTGCTTGAAAAATTGAATCCTTGTCTTCATATCATACCGTCTGATTGAGTATTCTATAGACTGAATTTCGGTCTGACTAAGTCCTACCTTTCCTTTTGCGATTTGAATTATGGAGAATAGTTCAGTTAGCTGTATTCGTTTGAACGCACGTCCCAGGTTCTGCACATGTGGTAGTTTAGCTAGGCACAGGGCTGTTTTACACGTATTTGGATCACCGTGTTCTCGTAGGGCTGATCCAACGTAAGAAACAAAATGACAACCAAATAAGAAAATCATAAATTTCGTGAATCATCTGTTACTGAACCCGTTTTTCTAGGCATGCATGAGTGCAAGGTGGTTTTCTGCTGGTCAGTGACGTATAAGGAGAGTATTCTGTGGTCAGCAGTGTACATCATGTAGGATTGCTATCGACCGGACCTTCTTGTACGCATACACATTTGTGCTTTTTTCTCTGCAATAAGAAACCACAGTAAGTCTTCGGCAGGACTTTAACTACCAAGGCCGCGCCACAAAATAAATTGTGGGACTGCATTCGTTACTCAGCTGGGTATTCCGTAAGACACAGAAGGAAACCTACCCTCTCCCGGTAGAGCAGATGGCCTGGAGCTGAATCCCAAGCAGAGTGCCTATATCCGTGCCCTAACCCTGACTCTAATCTCCCTGACGTTTAACGCAATGCCACCCGTATTATGGGTAGATTTCCTGTTCCCGTGTCCTACCGGATAATCCGCTCACTGTTGGCTTGGTTCGGAACCGCAGCTGGCAACCCCGAAATTACAGATCCAAACTCCGAGAC